TTTTTTATGAGCTCCTAAGGGGTAACTCATCAAAGTAGAGCCCTACGGGCGAAAATTTTGTCCGTTTTGCTCTATCTCTCACCGTTTATGCGCTAGAGGGAGTTTCTATCACGAAAGTGGACCAAAAATAAATTTATTAATTTCCGAAACTATTGGATGGTCTCCTAAGGGGTAACTTGTCAAAGTAGAGCCCTTTGGGCGAAAATTTCGTCCGTTTGGCTCTATCTCTAACCGTTTAGGCGCTAGAGGGTCTTGTTTGACGAAAACAAGTAAAAAATTGCTGTAGTGAACAATTAAATGTAAAAGAAGGCCCAGAACCGCAAAAGAGGTTAGAAACTCCCTCCCCCCACCCCAAAAAACGTTTTCTAAGCAGAAGGGTGGGTTGTAGTCGCGGTGTTTTACCGTTACACCCCTTTCTCGTGTCTACGGCGCAAATTTTAAGGACGACGGGCTTTGCGGGCCGAAGGCCTGTTACATCATTTGATTATGTTATACAGCAAATCGCGTGACAGTAATGGTCGGGCCGCAGGCCCGACCATCGCCGCCGGCAGGCCAAGCAGGCCCGGCCCCTGCCGAACGGAGTTGCCGGCGCAGCGAAGCGAAGCTGGCAACTTCGTTTGGCGGAAGGGCGGGCCTGCTTGTTTAAACTATAAAGATCATCTTTGAACTCGATCTGTCCTCTATTTTACGCTTTACGCCTTCTTGTACGTCTTTATGTACAGCGTGGCCATTTTTGGCTGAGCGATTAGCGAAGCCCATTACTCCACTGACCGGAAAAGTTTCATTCTGTTTGTCTGTTTGTTTGTCTGTTTGTATGTCTGTCCGCACGATAACTCGCGAAGGAATTGAGGTAGCGATCTTGGAATTTCAGGGTCGTTTTGTATCATAAAAAGACAGATCGAGTTCGAAGATGAGCATTCTAGCTCAAAAATTGGCTTTTTAAAAAATCAAAAAACTACAGGTCGCAAAATGTATTTTTATCAAATATTTTGGGTTCTTAAGGGGTAAACCGTCAAAGTAGAGCCCTTTGGGCGAAAATTTCGTCCGTTTGGCTCTATCTTGAACCGTTTAGGTGCTAGGGGGCATTTCTTGACAAAAATGAGGTAAAAATGATCAAATGGTCGAAAAAATACAGTCCTAGTGCCCCGTCTCGGGTGTCAGCGCCGCAGGCCTAGCTATAAGTGCGCCAGGCGCGTCGCAGCGTAACAGTGTTTCGTGAGATATCGCGAAGCCTGTTAC